GATCGGGTTGCAGGTGATGTGAAGGACCTCTGGCCGAGATCCCGGAGGGCCTCTGCCTGTCTGAGTAGACAAGACTGACCTTGGTGGACCGATGGTCTGATTCAGTATAACAATGAAAACAAGTGGAAACAGACCGTAAAACCCAATTGTCAATGTACGTTGACACCAATAACTTCAAAAGTATTACAACAGAACACTTAACAGTTCAACTGCCCTAGAAACTGACATGCAAACGTTGCAAAAGACACTCCAATGTGCGAGTCGTGCGCAGTTTCCTCTTGTTTTCAGTGATTCAGTATAAGACCGCTTCGTGCGCATTTCACGTGTGTTTCATTCATCCAGACCTCTTCTTGATGTTCCCAATTAATTTATTTTGGGAGAAGCTAACCCAGGTTTCTCCGCAACTCCATTTCAGTGTCCTTTTCTGGGCAGGATCTGGGTGTGACAGTGCTCCCTCTAAGCTGTGGAGTCTTGTGAGCAAAAATTCTCCTTTGTGAGCTACTGGGTTAAAGTTGTGAGCGAGCGATTTGGCTACTGCATAAACTAGTTTGCTCTGGCGCCCTCCTTCCTGAGCTAAGACAAAAATGTGTGAGTTGGAGGCTAAAAAACTGTGAGCTAGCTCACGCTAACTCAGCTTAGAGGGAACATGGCAGCGCAACTTCCAAATTTGAGGGAGAGAAGGAAACTCCCCCCAATCCAGGAGGAATAGTGTGATGGCCATACAATGCGTGGAGATGATGTTATTTCTATGTTCTTCTGTAGCTTAACAGAAAAAGACGTTCCTTTCATTTCATTAACAGGTAGAAGTTGCATATATAAATGACCGTTGGTGGCTTTGGACAGCTGGCGGTTACTTGCTAAGGAATGTGCTTGTCTTCTTGGGTGAAGACAGAAAGTTTAGTAGGTTCTGAATGCAATACTCTTGAGCTTTTCATTTGCTTCGCAAGAAGTAGTCTCGCAGTGTCGTAAAACGCACTATTCACTGTGGGCAATAAAGGCTAGTATTGTCCTCCTGGGTGCCTGTCTGTTCCTCTTGTGCTGGTCACCACACCTTAAAAAGGATATCATAGCTTCGGAAAAAGTGCAGAAAAGGGCAACTCGACTGATAAAAGGGTTGGAACACTTTCCCTATGAGGAAAGGTTAAGGCACTTAAGGGTCTTTAGCTTGGAGAAACGACGACTGAGGGGTGACATGACTGAGGTTTATAAGATTATGCACGGGACAGAGCAGGTAGAGAAAGAGAAAGAGGTACTTTTCTCCCTTTCTCACAATGCAAGAACTCGTGGGCACTCCATGAAATTGCTGAGCGGTCGGGTTAGAACGGATAAAAAGAAGTACTTCTTCACCCAAAGAGTGATTAACACATGGAATTCACTGCCACAGGAAGTGGTGGCGGCTACAAGCATGGACGGCTTCAAAAGGGACTTAGATAAGCATGTGGAGTAGAGGTCCATCAGTGGCTATTAGGCACAAGGCATAGATAGGGGCTCTGGGGCAAGTGATGCTCTGTCTTCTTGGTGCTTGGGGTGGGGGGCAACAGTGGGAGGGCTTCTAGTGTCCTGGCCCCACTGGTGGACCTCCTGATGGCACCTGGTATTTTTGGCCACTGTGTGACAGAGTGTTGGACTGGATGGGCCTTTGGCCTGATCCAACATTGGCGTCTCTTATGTTCTTATGTTCCTCTCTATACAGCTGGTAAATGTGTTATTGACAAGTGTACTATCAGGCTGCTGTCGCACAGAGGTCTGGCTCTGGATCTGGTGTCTTAACTGGAGCAAGTTTCTCTTTTTTCGAGTCACCCACAGGACTTCACCCCCTAGTCATCTGCTTTCTGTGTTTTTCTCCACATTGGCATTGGAAAGGTCGCAGTCAAAGAGTTTTTGCATGCTTGTTATGGGCAGGAAGGGATGCATTTCTGTAGATCTTTGCTCACATTCACACAATTTCCCTTTCCTCAGTCCCCCACAACTTACGTTCCCTGCCACACCACTGGAGGTCTCTTTTAAAACATCATAGAGTTGGAAGGGACCTCCAGGGTCATCTAGTCGCATCAGTGCTTGATCGGCACCGGGGGAGGGACAGGACGTTCTGCAGTTTGAGAGGGGTTGGTGAGCACCACCCGCCAAAAGCAGTTTCCGTAGAAGGTGGAGCCAAACCCAAAAAGGTTTCTGCAGGAGGTGGCGCTAAACAGAATACCTCTTCCTCATAGCTTCTGGGAAGAAGGAAAGCCTGAATGGAGAATGGAACCATACATTGACTAAGGCAAGACCAGGTGTTTACCAGTCCTCCAGATTTTCTGGTGGAAAACGCTTCCATTTACAAGGGCAGCCAGTAGTAACAAGCCCGGACGTACAGTTTACTTTCTCAAAAGCTTGGTTGGGGCACTAAGTTGGGGGACCCTGGACTACCATCACAGTGTAATTGACATCTTGCTAAAACTGGAAATCTGTGATTGGTAGATCCTTGCAATCTGACACTATAGAGGTATGTCAATTACCATTTTTTTCAGTAGCCCCCAAACGCCCTCTGGTGGAAGGGGGAAACGGTGGCCGCAGGGAACAGAGCCGAGGGCAGTGCAGGGAAAACTACCACACGGATCATACACGGCCTTTGCAAATGCCTCTGCGTTCTCCGCAGCCTCGAAAAGAAGACGGAAAAGTAGTTGCCGTGTGCAATCGGGCAGTCTCTAGCACTCCCTCCTGACAAGGAGATTAATGGTTTAAAAGCCACTTCCTACCGCTCGGGGAAGCAGAGAACCTTGAAACAAGTCTGCATGGAAACACAGTGGGACATGAAGTGCCACAAGTGCCCGTCTTTGCTTTGAAAGCTGCAAAACCCAAACGAGCAGATGCAGGCAAATTAAATCATGTGTCTCTGGGATTTGGCATGTGTGTGTGTGAAAAATACACTGAGCTGAGAAACGCTGGGAATGGAGGGGTGTGGAGAGGGGTGAGGCAGACTGTGGCTAGAATCTGTGAGGGACGCTGCGTGGAATTTGATCAGCATCAACGGGGGGACGGGACGCGGTGTAGCCATGGCCTCAATCCATGCCCTTAATGGTCAGGACTGGACGGTTCTTTGGTATCCCTGCCCCCCTTAGACTTTGTCTTTTTGATATGGGGAAAGTTGATGATATTGTACATTATATTCTGAGGTGCCCATGGCATGAAGCCCCTAAGGCTAAAGTAAAGGTTCCCTTGCTCGAAAGCCAGTCGAATCCGACTCTTGGTTTGCAGTGCTCATCTCTGTTTCAAAGCCGAAGAGCCAGCGCTGTCCGAAGACATTTCCGTGGTCATGTGGCCGGCATGACTAAACACCAAGGCGCACGGAACGCTGTTACCTTCCCACCGAAGTGGTACCTGTTTATCTACTTGCAATTTCTTGCTTTCGAACTGCTAGTTTGGCAGGAGCTGGAACTAGAGACGGGAGCTCACTCCGTCATGCGGCACACTCGGGTCTCGAACTGCTGAACTACTGACCTTTCACAGCCTGCAGTTCAGCGTCTTAACCACTTGAGCCACCGCAGCTCCTTCCCTATTATTCTGCAGCGTAATGGACTCTCCGATCTGGACCTGGTCAAATTTTTACTCCCAGATCTTGACCACTATGTCTCTAGCAGAATGGCGTTATTTGCCTTAGCAACGTGACAGTGCAACTACCGTATGTGTCACTGGATGAACGTAACAAAAGTCCCACTGGGTGCTTTCTTTCCTTAGGGAAAAGCCACGAAAAGATGAGGGAGGGGTTTGATTGGAGAAACAGAGGAAAGAGAAGGGACAATAAGCCCTTATCTTGCCTTCGGTGTTGAGCTGCCCACTTTCTCCGGATTAGGCCTCTATCAGCTGCTTCCTCTCCCACCCTTCCACCCCTGCTTAAAATGCGTGTTTGCACTTGCTTGGAGGCCTGTTTTTTTAAAAAAACCAGTGGGTTGAGCAGAGAGACAGTGACATATCAGATTGCCTGCTCAGGGTTTGGAACTACCTGGAGATTTTGGGGGTGGAGCCTGGGGAGGGGAGGAGCCTCAGCAGGGTATGATGTCATCGAGTTCACCCTCCAGCGCAGCCGTTTTCTCCAAGGGAACCAATCTTAGTCATCTGGAGAGCAATCGTAATAGTGGGAGATCTCCAGGTGACTCACATATAAGCTCCTCAGCTCTCAAGCACACAGTGCCCAGTTTGGGTTGTGACTGCGGAGCATGGGGGAGGGACTTCAGCCTTCCCGCTGCGGCATTTTTCTGACCCGAAACAGTCCTGGTGGGTGCTATTTGACCTGTAGGGGAAACTCGCGAGTATACACGGGGGGGTTTCCCAAATGAGCCAAAGAGGGTACCCGCGGGACCATTGCGGATTGGGGAAATGGTGTTTGGTGGGAGGCAAAGCCCCTTCTTCCCATGTATCAGTCGTGATCTGAACTGGGCACTGCACATGTGGGAACTGAGAAGAACCTGCTACTTTCATGTGACTTTTACAGTAGGACCCAACCTGTGTGAATGTGTATTTTGAACAGTGAAGCAGAACATGAGAAGAAGGTTCAAATACCCTTCCTCTCAGCCAGGATTTTGTGGCTTGTGAGACAAAAAATTTTTCCAGTGAGGCCACCATTATTTTCCATAATGATGTACCCCTCTCCCTCCCCTCCTGCAAGATTTAAAGGGCCCTTCAGTTGATCGGCAGGGAGCACATGGCCTGCCAATCAGCTGAAGGGACCTTTAAATCTTGCAGGAGGGGAGGGAGAGAGGCGCGTGCCACCCCCTTCTTCTCAAAAGCGTTTAAAGGATCCCTTTAAATGCTTTTGAGAAGAAATGGGGGACCTTTAAGAAGCAGGGGCCCTTTAAGGAAGGGGGCTGACCTCCAAATAGCCCCACCATCGCTATGGGCCAGTTTCCGCTTCTTTCCTGCTCCAGACTCCGCCCCCCCCACGGAGCTGCTTGGAAAAGCATCCATTTGGGCTTTTGGTTCACTCAGTTCCCTGAGTCTCTGCTTCTCTCTCTCTCTTTCAGTTTCCCAGTAACTCCAGCTCACAAGTTCACATTCCTTCGCTCAGTGTGGATGGACTCTCCACCCCCGTCGTCCTTTCTCCAGGCCCCCAGAAGCCATAACCTTTCCTCTCCACATCGCTGTTATCTCTCCTTGCTTCTGCCAATGAAACGGCTTTCGTTTCTTTCCAAGAAGCTGGGATTAGACAGCTACATGTCTCTTCGTTGACTGCAAGAATCCCTTTGGCAAACCGAGGACCGCCGCCCTGCTTGAGGGGTGAAAGCAACACAGCAGCGGATGCATTCACTAGCTTGGAAGTGCCGGGATTTTCCTTGAAGCCAAAACGGAGTCTCCCTAACACCAAGAAGTCCACGTGCTGCACCTGCCTGCTTCTGAGAAGTTTGATATGGCCCTCCGATACCTCATTTGGGGCAAAGGGGATATATCCTCGTTTATTTGTTCCCCTTTCTGCTTTAAAGGGTTGTCCATGTTGACTTTTGATGGGGCAGGATGGGGCTCCCTTTTGCACCCCCCATCTTGGTATCCTTTCTCTTTTAATGGAGATGATTTGGGGGTGATGGTCCAAGGTCAAGAGGGGCTACCTTCTTCTTCGGCCCTCTAAGATAAATCAAATATCTCGTCCTTGTCACCTTGTCTGGGATTGGTTTTGATTAGGTAATTGAAGAGGGGGTAGACTTCGCCAGTCATGTTCGGTTTGGCTGTGTGTAGGGGACTGAAGGTGTATCGGCCATATTTATTTTGGCTGTGTGGTAATTTTAGCCATGGCCAGGATGTTGGACTGTAAGCCATGTTTGTTTTGGCTGGGTAGAGTAGACTGAGGAAATTCAGTCATCATTGTTTTGAGGCTGAACAGGAGTAAGAATGTCAGCGCTGGCTGCATTGGTTGTTGTTGAACAGGGAGGAGAAGGCACTGTTGACCGTGGGTTGGATTCAACCAGCATTTCCACTGGTGAAAAAGGGAAGAAAGGTGTCTCACCTTTTACCACCAAACAGGCTGTGCTGGGGATTATGGGACCTGGGATAGAGATAACAAGGTTGGGTATTGACTAAGAGTCGACTGGATTCAATCCCATGTTTCTTCATGGGTAAAAAGGATATCGCTATGGATTGATCACTGATTTAGCATGATGTGGGAGAGGAAGAAGACTTCAACATGGGCAACAGAGTGGAAGGGAATACTGCCAGTCATATTCAGTTTTGTCAGATGAGGTAGCAGTGTCAGCCATGTTTGTTTGGGTTGGACAATGTTGACCATGTTTTCTTTGGTTCATTGAAATACGGGGGATGTTGCTAAGTGTTCCTTGGGGATATGTCAGATGTGCCATCTTAGACAATAGCAGTGGAAGCTTTGGGTATGTTGCCACTTTTTTAGACACACTTCCTGAAGGTCGGAGGTCACCAGTTCGTCATTGCGGAGACCAGAGAAGGGAAGCCCCTCCTACAAGGGGAACCTTCTCTTTTTGCAGAATGGTTTCCTTAATTTATTTCCTGACGATCATAGGTCACCGTAGAAATGACCAAAGGGGAAGTCTTATCCCCTCTACTTTTTGACTACTTTCTTACGGCTACATTTCTTTCCTCTTTATCCATTGGAGAAGTGTCAGACATTAATCCATTTTATGAGGAAACTTCATGTGCTGGTTGGTCTCTGAAATGGAAATCCCACCTCACAGATCTCTTCAGTTTCTTCCAGTTCATGAGTCATCCCAGAAGCAGCACTGACTAATTTCCACCTTGTGTCCCCTTCATTTCCTACAACCAAAAACAAGGTCCTTTCCATGGAAACAGTGAAATGGAAGTCCTGCCTCTTTTTACAGCTCCTAGCTTCTTTCCAGATATATGATAAGGGAATGTATAACCTTAACAAAAGGGCTGCATCATATGGGTAGGTCAGTAGCTCATATCCTCAAAGGATGAGAATTTCCTCACTCGTTGATTGTGGCTTGGTTTATTTTTTATTTTTTGTTTTGTTTTGGTGGAATTTTCCTACAAGTCATTGTCCGATGCTGCGGAAGATGCTATTTTGGAAATATCATACGATTCCCAATCAGAATTCCCAGCGCCTTCTATTTTTTCACAGAGTCTATATATCACAATTTTATCTATTATCAAGAGAGTCATATTGAGAGAGAGAAGACGGCGTAGAGCTATATTTATCTTTTTTGTCCGTCCATTTTTTATATCTATTTTTTAAACTGTGGGTTGGGAGTGGGAGAAGGGGGTGTCTTTTAAAGCTAGATAAGAAAGGGAAGCACTTGGTGCCCCACATATTTTTCTTCTTTTTGAAGTAGGGGGGGAAAAAACCTATAGGGAATTTTTTAAAGAACTGCGGTTGTCAAAGTGAATTGGGGCAGATTTCTGTAATGAGGAGACCAGTAAGGGCTGGACTAGTTCCTCACAGAGAAAGAGAGCTTGCCCTTATTGTAACTGCCATTCTAGGGAAATCTTGAATGTGTTCACAGATCTTTTTTGACATGGAGTAACTGGGAAGTCTAGTGTGCCTGGCTCGTGTGGTGGGTGAACCGAGCCGTTGAAAATGCCCCAGAATCCTCTCTGCCGTTCAGGGGTTCTGTGATAGATGGTCAGCCAGTTGCGCCTATGAAAAGCATACCCTGAGGAGAAATTGAAAGCCACTGTTTTAAGGGGATTAAAGCAACTATTTGAGCGGGGGGGGGGGGGGCGCGCACTTGGGGGATGCCAGACACACCAGGGAAAAAGATTTTTTGTGGATGTGAATGGGGTTGAACTAGATGTGACTGTGGCAGAGGAATATTTTAAAGCTCAGGTTTCTTCCTTAGAGTTACGATTCTTGTATTCTGTTTCCTGAGGTGATTCCCCCCCCCTTCCCTGATAGCAGAGCTTTTGATGACTACAGTGAGCTCAGGCGGGAGAAGAATCACATTGAAGGACAGACTACGGGAAGAAAATCACTTACAAGAGGAACAGTTCACACCCAGATCACCCACTAGGGTTGCCAGCTCCAGGTTGGGAAATTACTGCGGATTTGGGGGTGGAGCTTGGGGAGGGCGGAGTTAGGAAATGGGAGGAACCTCAGTCGTGTATAATGCTATAGGGCTTTTCCTCATTCTCATTTCCCTTGCTTGTAAATTCCTGCAGTTTAATTCTGCAGGGAGATATGCCGGACATAAACCACTGTAATATCGAATCGGCCACTAGAGAGAGCAAAACAGGACCCCCCTCAGAAGAAACAGGAACTTACAAGTCAGAAAATGAGAATGTGAAGAAGCCCATAAAGTCTACTCTCCAAAGCTGCCATTTCCTCCATGGGATCTGATTTTAATTATAATTTTGGGAGCTCTCCAGGCCACACCTAGGGGTTGGCAACCCTATCACCAATTCCACTGTCTTATTTGACTGGGCAGAGCCAGGTTAAAACACATCGATCTGCCGCCATTACATCTAGTCGGGCCGCAATTCACACACTACTGATGAAGAAATGATCAAGATCGGGGCGTGGCATTCTTTTAACTACTCAGTTGCTGGTGGGATTGACTCTGTTACTCACCCTTAAGTGCAGATTAGCCAGATGGATTTATGTTACCAGGGGATGACATTGAGCTTAGATGATGGTTTCGAGACTTGGCCCGACGGCGTTGCTAAGTGATCGTTAAAGTGGTTTGGTGTTCTATGCTTTAAAAAAGCAAGCAATTTTATCCACAAAGACATGGTTACTTTTAATCATCCCTTTGTGTAGCATTTAATAGTAATAACAATGATACCTTTTTTGCACTTCCACATTGCCTACTACGGGGAGAAATCTTTAAGTGCTTTACAAGGGGGTGGTTTATTGATTTTATTTAATAGGTTAGGTCCTTTGTGTAAACAGCAATCTGCAAATCAATCAGGTACAAACCATGAGTATTACCTATGGACAAATTGTGTAAATCGTGTGTGATTTGTGTATAAAAGTGAGTTGTGCTTTTAGAGCAAACTGTGAGTGCGCCGTGCATAAGCCATGGATGTAATCATGAGCAAAATGTGGGGAACAAGAATCCGTTTGTGGCTGAGCCCGATTGTACGCACGCAGGTGATGTGGAAGCCACTCGCTAAGCGTGAGCACAGGAAGAGTCAAGACTTTGTGTAACCCACTAGTACATCATGAGTAAGCGTGTGTAAACAATAATGGACTTTCAATGTGATTTTTTCCCATAAATAACCTGTGGCTTAGCTCCTCTAGCCATCCTACATGCAAAACCATAAGTAAGCCATGAGTAAACAATCAACGCAAATGATCGTTCTATGTAAACTGTAAGTGAAATATGGTTACACTTTGAGTATGCCATATGCAAACAATGAGTAGGCCACGCAAGCCATGATTGGCCTCTGGTCAAGCCGTGTGGAAACCTACACAATGCTTAAACCATTTGAAGCCTGGTTGTATTCACCTCACTGGCTCCCCACATTGAAGGGTCGATTCTCACGTTACAATATCCACGTGTCTCCCCACATGGACACTTTCAACAGATGTGTTCTGGGTTTTCCCTGTAGGGAACTTAAGTCCGAGCCACATACAGGCCCAGTTTGGATCAGGACTGCAGAATGGGGCGATGAGGCGTCTCCTTTCACACAGTTTTTCCAATCCAAAATGGCCCTGGGAAACCTCTGTGAGCACCTTTGGGGAAAACTTAGCTGTCCTGATTTCTATATGTATGTTTCCCCAGCAGATCAGGAAAATAGGGTGGGGGGCTGAAGCCACTTCTCCCCAGTGATCCAAGTTGGGCCCATGTATGCCTAGGAATTAAATTCCCAGTGAGGGAACTCTTAGTATTTGTCTGTATCGCGGGTCCCCGCGGTGGCCCATGAGAACTTTAACGTGTGAATCGACCCCTCTGAGCCTCTCTTTCTCATGCAGGTGCCCATGGGCTTGTCCCAGTTTTATTGAGAGCACCAAGCAGAGTAGCTTTATAAACTCTTTGCCTAGGACTGATGGCCTCTTTTTGCACTCTCCATCCTGATACTCTTCAGGGTTGATTGTTTGAAAGTCCCTGGGGGACTTGGGAGAGCAACGGCACAGATGTCCTATGTTTTTTTTCTCTTCAACGTGCGCAGCTTTTAAAAACTTTTGCGCTGGAGTGAAACTGTTTTTTGTAGCCATATATTAGTGCGGATCCACGTGACAAAGAGGAACCCCACAATGCGGTGGTGTGTTCAAGAGGAAATGGCAAAAGGGGCAGGGGGGGAATGAAGGCCTACAACAGATCACAGACTTATTTCCTAGAATGGGTTGCCTTCCTGCGTTTCGATCGCCTTGTAAATTGAGAGCGGCTCAGTTGGATCGGTGGTGCCAACTTCCTTTACGCTGACGAGGCGGACATTTGCCCTCTTGACAGGATTCCAACCTTTTTGGGGTCTGTGTGTTGCTCACCAGCCTTTTAGGATGGATCCTGTGCAGAGGGTGGCATGTTGAAGCCCGTCAAAAAACAGTGGAGGTGGGCACACCAAGATCTGCCTAGGACTGAGCTTCAGGGGTTATGGTGAAAAGGTCTCTGCCAAGCCACTGAGCTGAACCCTATTCAGACCTGTATTATGGTGGAACCCAGCCGTAATAACACCCATGCTAGT